TTTTGTTTTTATTATGAGTTGAGTATATTTTCCGTTTGGTATCGATTTTGTTTAATACGTTTCACTTGTCCTACCACACTGCAGGTTCGGGAGGTCAGTTCAGTTGTCCATGACTCCTCTGTTCCGGCTCGCCATCCAATTTTATGGATGCTTGGAGTCAGCCCGATAGCTATCCAGTGCTGGTATCCTCTGTATCGTCGACTACTGGTGTCGCTGATGTGTCTCTCTCAACATCAACGAGTCACATCCTCTCACAAAATCCTGACCTGTAGGACAGGTCACATTCATTCATCCATCCATTATCAATACCGCTTATTCCCTCATGGGGTCGCGGGGGGAACTGGAGCCTATCCCAGTGGTCAACGGGCGAGAGGCAGGGTACACCCTGGACAGTCCGCCAGTCCATCGCAGGGCCACACAGAGACACACAAGGACCAACAACCACTCACACTCACATTCACTCCTAAGGGCAATTTCCCCAATCTCCAATCAGCCTAACATGCAGGTTTTTGGACTGTGGGAGGAAGCCGGAGAACCCGGAGAGAACCCACGCAGACACAGGGAGAACATGAAAACTCCACCCAGAAAGGTCCTGGTTCCCCCGGGATTACGAACCCAGAACCCTCTTCCTGGGAGGCGACAGTGCTAACCACCACACCACCGTGCCGCCTGTACATTCATTCATCTCAGTAAATTAAATTACTACAGGCCATAATCCCTTAATTAAAATGAACTAATAACACAAATATGACCTTTATATCAATAGAAATAAATTAACAAAAATATTTAATTCTCATTTTTTTCTTTTAGGTCTTACTTCATCAATGCTAGCAATTAGCTCATTCGTTAGCTCTGTTAGTTGAGTTCAATGTTAATTCACTTCAGCTGCTACACTGACGGCTAACGCATGTGATATCGAATTAGCCGTTAGCGGCTAATTAGCGCTGACGCTAGCACACCTTTACTCGACGCTCCTTCACTCAAAATGCACATTAAACTCACCGCCGAGAAAAGAACATCAAACGTGGATTCTGGAATCGGCTCGCAATGTTTTTTTTAAAGCTATTTCGCTCACTTTTATCCACTTCTGCGTCTCCACTTTTCCCAAGTAGAAAGTTCCTCCTGCAACCGGAAGGCGCGTTTTTTTTCAATCTCCCAGAGCTCTGTGCGCAGCTGCAGAACCGCGCAGTACGGCGTAGTTAACCCCATAAATGCCAGCTATCTCTCTCACACATTCATACAGACTAAATAACAGACTTTTAACTTCGTTTTTTTCTTTTAACAGCTTATGAAGCTTGGGCTACATGAAATCTGCAGGACAGCAGACCAAAGAGCTCCAACTGAACAGAAGAAAGAGCAAACTATCTATTATCTTCTCACAGCGTATTGGACACCTTTTCTGTTCAACATTCTCATAACGGACGTGCAGAAATGCATCCAATAAATGTGGGATTAAAAACTAAATGAAACACTACACATAAAACCTGCTGGGATGTGACCGCATTGATGCTATAAAGCTGTAAATGTAAGGTGCTGGATGTATTAGATGTATGATTCTCTGGAAATAACTTCTACAGGCGCTCTGATAAATCTCTCTTGGTGAATATTTAATTCGCTGTGAATTAATTAATTAAAGTGGAAAAATCTCTCTCATTTCTGAGTCAACAAACACAGAGTTTTCATGAAACTTGCTTTGTGAAATGGATCCCAGATCTGTAGACTCAGTTTATTCTGATTGGGTTTTGGAGGGAAAACACCTTTCACATAAAACCTGCCGGGATGTGACAGCATTGATGCTATAAAGCTGTAAATGTAAGGTGGTGGATAAGATGAATGATTCTCTGGAAAGAGCATCTACAGACGTCAGTCAGAGGAAAAACTGAGTTTATGGTTAAAACCTGCTTCTGATCAGGTTCATTCCTGGGAGACAGAGGTGGAGAAACTCTTTCATTTCAGAGTCAACACACTCAGAGTTTTCATGAAA